AAAAAAAACTATAATCAATTCATAGGATTATAAGTGATATAGGGGAATGAATATAACTCCCAACCTGCTAGATGCCAGATGTGCTGAGTTCGTGTTCCTGGCATCACTTGTACCCTAATATACATGGTCTTTATTGAAAGTTATTTTTTATGTGGCATTCTGGGTGATCATAAGAAGGGTACTATAATTTTAGGTACATATTGACAAAATTTTCACATACAATTCTTAGCTGAAAGTTCTAGTTTTTGAGATGACATTAAAGGATTTAGTAGTTACTGCTTGGCAGCAGATTTTTCAGCTGATGTGTTTGGGGATATATTTTATGATTTATCCTTCAGCAGTTAATTTATCAGTTGACTTGTGAAAACTTTTAGTTTGATAGATATTAGGGATTCATACACAGCTTCCATTTTACATTGTAAACAGTAGAGTAAGAGGACAGCATTACCTCTGGCTGGTTTTTGAAGTGGGTTCAAAGAAATGTCCGCCAAAATGAATACCTTTCTTTTCTTCACAGATTCCCTACAACAATGCCAAGAGCTTTTCCATTCAACACCTCAGTCATGTACAGAAAATCAGTGTTTGTAGAGTTCACGGATCACCTTTTCAACGTTGCCAAGCCCAGGCCACCGTGGATGGGTAATGAAAGCACTGTTGAGTGCCACCTATGATGCTAGGTCTTTTATTTCCTAGCAAGAGTTCACACATCTTAAGGACTGTGGTTAGAGAGGGCAGCTGCCAAACAGAATGTTCTTTGGCCAGTTTTCCTTCCTGCCACCTAGAGGGAAGTACACTAGCCACACCTCGTCTCTGCTGGGACTCTGGATGTTAGAGTGCCCTGGAGCTTAGTTCTGGATGCATTTCCTTTTCTTTCTATCTTCAATCCCAGGGTGATCCCATCCAGTTTCATAGCTTTAAAAGATTGATTTTTAGTAATAGCTCCCAAATTTATACCTTTTATGTAGACCCTTCCATGAACCCTAACTGCTCACTACCAATTAAGTGCCAAATAAGCATGTAACAAGGAGTTTAAATGGAACATTTCTACCTTAGATTACGTTTTTCCTTTTCTTTTTTCTCTTCTTTCTTCTATGATCTCTCCCACCCTCTCTCCCTTCTGTTTTGTGGTGCTGGTGATTAAAACCAGGGCTTTCCTCATGCTAGGCACACACACTCCTGGAGCTCTTTCTTAGAACTGTTGCTGAGAGTTATAGATGAAAGTATCTACCACATTCTAAAAAGAAGTACCAGCCCACCTATTCAGGACTTACTTGGGCTGTGGTCCAGAACTGGTTCTGCAACCTTAGGCCATGATACACCTTCAGTCTGTATAAAAGAAGATTAGGAACTTATTTAAAAAACTTTATATTTGAAAATTATTGAAATAACATTTTTTGACATATCCCTAGCCCATGTAAAAAAGGAGAACTCTCCCTCATGTCAAGCTATGACAAGCAAGCTTCAGGAGAACCAGTATAAGATTTGACTGACAATCCCTGGAACTTGGGAAACACTGACTAATGCCTGGTTTTTGTCTGGGAATATTTGCAAGATCAGAAGTTAACAGCATAGAATGAAAGGTGGAATATATGGAATTTGACTACACTGACATTGTTAGGCATCAGGCTGTCCCGACCCGTGGGTTAGTCAACGAGGACCCTAGAGGGGGAGTGGGGATGAGAAGGGACAGGAGACACAAAGAATGGAGACAAGACAGGATTCTGATCAAGTCTCGTTTATTCAGGGGAGGTGCTGGATATATATAGGGAGTGTAGGAATGAGGAAGTCTTGGCTCTTGGGGATCAGCAGGTATCTAGGCAACGGAGGAAGGTCCCACACCTGGGGCATATCACTGGGAATGGGGAAGGCGGGAAGGACCAGAAACTTAACTCAGCAGGGGAATAGAAACTTAAGAAAATGGCTGACACTATTATAAAATGGATACCAGTTAATGGCTTCCCACATCAGGCCAAGAAGGTCATGGGCTGAGACTGTTCTTAAGAAGGCCTTGTTCAAAAAGTCTTCCAGGGCTGGGGAGATAGCTCAGCAGAATAAGCACTTGTCTTACAAGCACAAGGTCCTGAGTTTGATTCCAGGTACCACACACACACACACACACACACACACACGAAGTCTTCCTGCAAAGCTTCCATGACTTCAAAAGAAAAGGTCTGTGTAGGCTATGTTGCCTGAAACAGAAACTAACAAAACAACAAAACAAATACAAGTGACCAGGTAGAGAAAGCAAATCCCATGGTAATGACATATTGAGTTATCCAAATGACTCATGTAAGTTTTCTAAGAAAGAGCAAATATCTGGGCATGTGCTAGTACAACATTACCATTGTTGCTCCCAGGAAAAGCTATATCATCATGCCTCTTCCACTCCTACCCTCTTTCCATTTGATTCCACCTTATAGTGTCTAGAAGCAGCTAAAATCAGTTGGAGAGGAAGATTAGAATTCACACACCTACAATATTTAAATGGCAGTGAAATACCCATCTCTGACAAAACTAAACAAAAAAGGGGGATATAAATGAAGGTCCATTTTGTAATAGGATAGATATACAGCAACTTTCTCTTAGTCCAATGAGAAGAAAGATTTGTACTAATAGTGTTTGGACAGGGTATAAGGTCTGCATCTTTTTTTAAAAAAAATAAATTTATTTACTTATTTATTTATTTTTAAATTTATTTATTTATGTGTGTGTGTGTGTGTGTGTGTGTGTGGCCAGCTTAGCCCACCAGGGGGCGGGGCTGGCTGGCATGTGGGGCTGGAGGATTGAACTGTGGTCCCTTTGCTTTGCTAAGCTTGTTCTAAGTAGGTGCTTTAGACCACTGAGCCATCTCACCAGCCCCAAGGTCTGCATCTTGTACTCTGAATAACTACTACAAAGACAACAGTATGAAATGTATTAATTATTGTAACTGTCCTACTAACCTGTTTTGAAACTATTGCTATTTGTTTCTCAATAAAATTAATAAAAAAGGAAAGGAAATTGAGAAAGCAATAAAGTTTCCAACAAAATTACTTTTACTTACTGCGGTTTTCTGAACCTGCCAGAATTTAGCTAGAGGAGAAAGAGAACTTTGAGTTACAGAGTACATCAAAAATTCAACATTAGCAGAACATGGTGGCACACACCTGTAATCCCAGCACTCAGGGAGGCTGAGGCAGGAGGATTGCTGTGAGTCTGAGGCCAGCCTGGGCTACACAGTGAGATACTGTCTCAACCCCTCAAAAAATTGACCTTAGTCTGGACTGGACTCATTAGTACCATAAAAGCTTACTGTTTCATACCTGAAGGTTACTGGACAAAATTTGGGATTCAATAAAGTGTAAGAAAAAGAAATTCTACATAATTCAATTGAAAACAGTGGTCTAAGAAAATTAAAACTATTTTACCTCACTGAATCTAATTCATTCAAGTAAGTATTTTGTAATCATCTTATACTCAAAGCATACACAAGTCTGAACTCTCTACCTCTGGCTGGATTTTCTGTGTCATGGACTAATCAGCTGCCCAGTTTCAAAAGCCAAATTTATAGGAACCATCTTTGCCTCTTCTTCTTTTTCCCATTTCCAACATCTAGTCCATCACCAGCACATCCTGTTGACTGTCACTCCAAAACAAGTCTCAAATTGTCCTAATTTACTTCTTGTAAAAGCAAAATTATCCAAGATCTTGCAACCGCCAAAGTTTTCTGCCTCTGTGATTTTATTTTCTGTTGTTCTTCAGCCATTCACTTTGTTCCAGCTACATTATTCAGCTATCCCAAGCTGATGCTTGCCTCAAGACTTTTGTATTTATCTTATATATTTGTAATGCTCTTCCACTAGATCATAGCAAATATTGCTTGTTTTGCAGTCAGCAGATCAAGTGCTACATCCTCAGAGAGGATCCTTGTGACCACTACATGCACAGTGTCCCTGACCTCCTACTTTACCATTTCCAAGAACACTGTCATCTTTCATCATGGTTACACCAATTTGAAATTTCTTTCTTTCTTGCTCTCTCTCTCTCTCTCTCTCTCTCTCTCTCTCTCTCTCTCTCTCTCCAAACTCAGGACTTTGTGCTTGCCAGACGCTTGTGCCACTGAGCTATCTTCACAGCCTAACATTGTTTATTTCTTTATGTGGTCAATGTTTTTAGACTTTAGTTTCCATGATGTGTAATACCTAGGACAGTTCTTAGAGTAGGAACCCAAATATTAGTTTAATTAATGAATACAGTAGTTGGATTGCCAGAAACATTGCTTTAGAGCACCATGAGGCTAAGCTGGTGTTGATAGCAAGCATAACTGTTCTTTATCAAGAATCACAGAGGCCTGCTTCTCCACCATGACTTGGACCCTCACTTTTATAACAACAGGTTTTCTGGAGTACCATCCTCCAAATGACTTTTGAGGGACATTTCATTCTTTCAGGTCTGCTGGGTCCTACCATCTGGGCTGAGGTTTATGACACAGTGGTCATTACACTTAAGAACATGGCTTCTCATCCGGTCAGTCTTCATGGTGTTGGTGTATCTTACTGGAAAGCATCTGAGGGTAAGTCCAATGCACTCCTATTGTCTTATCCTGTTGGAGACAGAAAAGCAAGATGTATGTGCTTGAAAGTAGTTGCTGTCTTAGGTCATTTTAGGTGACCATAACCAAATACCTGACACTGGATACTTTATAAAATAATAATGCTCATTTATCTTACAGTTCTGCAGGTCTAAGACCATGGTAATAGCATTAGGTTTTGGTGAGGGCTTCATGGCAGATAGCATCACTTACTGAGAGATGCAAAGGGGAGGAGAGAGAGAAAGAGAGACAAAGACAGAGACAGAGAGACAATTTTGAGAATGAACCAAGAAAGCTGAACTTGGTTTGTTTAACAATCTCTTTTCATGGTAACAAATCCAGTTCTCTGACATCTAGCCCTTCTCTTAACAGGATCACTAATTCTTTCCCAAGGTGGAACTCCTATGACCTAATTGCCACCCCCACAAGGCCCCATGCTATGATTTGAATCTGAAAGGGCCTGTGTGTAAGTGGGTTGGTCCTCAGCTTGCGATACTATGGAGAGGTGGTGGAATTTTAGAAGGTGGGACCCAGTGGGAAGAAGTTTGGTCACCTTGGGTGTGCCCTCAAAGGGAATACTGAGGCCCAGCCTGGTTATGACACTTAGTTATGTTCTATCAACTTGGTTGGCTTGGGAGGGTGATCGTGGGCCAGAACGGCCGAGGAAGAGCTAATCTTGGCAGGCTGCCTGGTCTGTGGGGGACTCTTAATGTTAACCAAGGAGAGTTCTGTGGCCTTGCCCAGGTCAAAGTCAGGGGACCTGGTCTGTGGTTTTGAGTTGCGCTCTGCATGGGACCAAGGGGAAGAGAGCTTGGGGAAGGGTGCCTGGAAAACCAAGAGGAAGAATGTTTGGGGCAGAGTGCCTGTGAAACTTTGAATCCTGACCTATCAGGTTGAATAGTAGTACAGTTTACCAAAATTGGCTTGGGAGACAAAAAGGACAGGCTTGCTGTCTGTAAAGATAGAGTGCATGTCACTGGTTGCCTGGTGAATGGAGTGTGCCCGGAGCATGAGCCAAAAGGGTTATGAGAAACTTCTACCTTATTGATTGTATTCTCAACCTGTAGCTGAGCCTGGTAAAGGATAAGAATTCAGTAAATGCCTGTTGAGTAAGTGAGTGTTTCTACATTGTGTTGTAATTTCACATTTATATTTCTTTGTTCCTCACAAATTTTAAAAAAGTTTTTCTAAAACTGTCTCTGAATCTTACAACTGCCTCAGCAGTGCCTATCAAATAGTGTGACAAAGTACACTTCAAGGGCTGGGGAGATAGCTCAGTGGAATAAGTGCTTGCCTGGCAAGCACAAGGTCCTGAGTTTGATCCATGGTATTGAAAAAAAAGTACACCTCAAATGTTGCTGAATTAACTTGTATTAGGAAGAAATAGGCAAGAATGGAGGCAATGTGATTGGTACACAGAATCTGGGGTTCTCATCAAAGCCGAGTTTTCACTACTTCTTCTAGGATTAGAAGCCTGAAGCTCCTCTGGACTCTATGAGGCTCCATTTGTAGCTGCTGTCTGTTAATCTTTCAAATTAAGTTTCATAAAGTCTATTCTTTTGATTTTCAAGAGAATTTTTATTTATTTATATTTATTTATTTATTTGTTACAGGGTCTTGCTACACAGCTCAAACTCATAGTGATCCTCCTGTCTCAGCCTCTCTAGTACTGGGATTACAGGCCTGTGACACCACGCCTGGTTTTGCTAGCCAGCGGAACATGCTCAGGGTTCTGTGGCCAGCACGGGATGCAGTACTATAGATCGAACTGGGGTCCCTGCGCTTGCCAGGCAGGTGCTTAGGCCACTAAGCTATCTCCCCAGCCCACAATTTTTTATTAGTATATAATAATTGTATATCTTTTATTGGCAGCAGTTAGGATAAGACCTAGGGTCTTCACAATGAGCTACATCCCTAACCCTTGTTTTATATTTTTATTTTGCGATTGGGTCTCATGAAGTTGACGAGGTGCCCAAGCTGGGCTCCAACTTGTGATCCTCCTGAATGTCCTTCTTATGTAGAACCCTTTGGTACAAAATAAGCTTCAGATATTTCTGGGAGTGGACAACGGGCCCAGAAAGAACAATTTCATCCTTTTTGCTTTTAGGAGCTGAATATGATGATCAGACCAGCCAAAGAGAAAAGGCTGATGATAAAGTCTTTCCTGGTGAGAGCCATACTTATGTCTGGCACGTCTCAGCAGAGAGTGGGCCAGTGAACTCTGATCCCCAATGTCTCACCTACTCATACTTTTCTCATGTGGATCTGGTGAAAGACCTGAATTCGGGGCTCATTGGAGCACTACTGGTATGCAAAGAAGGTATGTATAAGAAAGGGTAGGACTGACATGAAATAAGCAGAGAAGTACAAAGAGCTATTTATTGATAATAATGTTCTTTCTTCTGAAAGATGTTTCTCTTTCCTAGCATCATGCCCATGGAAAGGAAAATAGCCCAGCTCCTGGGAGGAGTAGATTTCTATCCTGGGGAACCTCAGCGAACTCTAAAATGAGCTCAAGAGCAGCCAAGGGCCAGAATAGATGTCTGTTTGCAAAGATTTGCTATTTTCCACTTCAAATCTGTGGGCTGTCTCAGTTGTGATTTCTGTGGTCCTTTGCCTGTTGCAGATTTTAAGCTATGCTCCTTGAAGCTTCATGGACGTAAGAGCAAGTATGTGATGGTGGCACGTAGACTAGCTAATGTGCTATTTGTAAGATGAAATTGTATAAAAACATGAAGAATATAAGCACTAATTTGTAATTTGTTATTCTAAAAATCTTAATTTTATGTGTCTTTTAAATTTATAGATTAATAGCACAATCTAGGAAGTAAACTTGATATAATTTGATTTTAACCCTACTTTCGTGGTAGAGTCAGCTTTACCACATTTTTGTTCAAGTTGTCTACTGTGAATAGCCCCACTATTTAGTGGCTAAAAACCCAACAATTTGATATGTCATATAATTTTATGTGTCCCATGGAATTTGAGTGTCTTGTCCCTGGATGTCTCATGAGTCTGTTTGCAAAGGGAGGTCAGAGATGAAATTATCTCAAAGGTGACTTAGTAACATGTCTGTCACCTGGGCTTTAAAAACTCAAATAGTTGGTCCTCTTCCCACAACATCACTCCAGCACAGGTGCTCTAGGGTTTCCAGAATCTTTATATGTTCTCAAGTGAGAGCCTATCAGATGTTATGCCATTTTTCTAATGCAACCTCAGAAATCATGCAATAGGACTCCTATCATGTCACGTTCAGCTACAGATCACTGATGCTGGTCTGTAGAAGGGGACTCAACCTTCAACCTATGGAGGAGGAGCAAAGAAGTTGTAAACATGGGCTGGGGATGGTGGCACAGGCCTGTAAATCCAGCATTATAGGAGGCTGAGGCAGGAGGACTGCAAGTTTGAACCCATCCTGGGCAAGTTGGTAATTTAACAGGCCTCAAAACATTTTTTTAAGAATTTAAAAGAGCTGGGGCTTGGGAGATAGCTCAGTAGAATAAACACTTGTACCGCAAAAAAAAAGAAAAAAAGAAAAAGAAAGAGCTAAAAGGTATAGTTCAGTGTGAGTCCTCCAAAAAAAGAGAATTTATGAGCATGAACCACCATGCCTTTCTGAATAATGATAGTTGGGGACCTGCCCATTAGCTCAGTAGTTTAAGTGCCTGCTTAAACAAAGCAGTCAGGCTCAAGATGCTCTGGTTCAAACCTAGTTTCTTGCAAGAAACCAGAAATTTCCTCAAGGCATCTTCAGGCTGCCAAAAAAATCCTAAATAATGATAGTGAATGTGCTTTGAGAACCACAAAGAGAGGAAGGAACCTAGAAGGGCTTGTAATTTGTAAAATTTTATTTGGTTTAGTTTCTCAGTTACTTTTCTCTCATTGCTGGGACCAAATACCCAACACCCCAAATTAAGGAAAGAAAGGCTTAGTGAGCTCACAGTTTGTGCAAGTTTCAGGCAGTACTCAGCTGGTTCCAAGGGAGGATAGCACATGGCAGAGGGCAGCAGTTTATGGTGGTGGGAAACAGCAAAACAGCAAGAGCAAAAAATAAAGGAGCAGCAGCAGTGGTGGCGGAAAGCGAGCCTCTCTCCCTTGCTTATATTTGCATTTAGCCTACCCACCCCAGACCAGGTGGAGCACTCACACCCATAATCCCAGCATGCACCATGAATTAATCACAAACTCTAGAAGCCCACCCCACTGATTGCATGAGGCTTTGAGGGGGACAGCTAGACATAAAACAGAACAGGTTCATAGCCATAATTCATAAGAAATTACTAAAACCATAAAGCCTATTGTTTTTGTAATGTAAAGGCAAATGAAGTCATTAAAACAAAAACATTTGCATATGAAATAAGTCTAAAACCAAAATAATTTCTTGACAGAAGATTGAATTAAAATGTTAACAGAGGACCTAGTTGTGGCTGACATGGAGTGAGCATATTCTCTTTTTCTCCCACTGAATTCAATAGTAAAGATGTGACAAATGCACAGCTTACTGCTCTGAAAGTTCTAAAATGTAAGTAGGACACACAGATAGGCAAGAGCATGCTGTAGTCTCCAATTTAAATAAAAGACAATTTGAACTCAAAAATGAGCACAGTGCTGCAACAAGAGTTCCAGGGATGGGAAAGGTAGCTCCAAGGGCTCACAGCTGAGGGAAGCTCCTTTCCTCCATCCTCTCACGCCCCAGTCCCCGATATGCCCATGCAGTGACAGTGGTGGTTGGCAAGAGAAGCCTGCAGGAGCCAACACTGAGGGAGCTCAACGGAGCTGCATATCTAAGCTGTGTGAGCAAAAGCCCATCGCTGGTTTTTTTGTTCTTGTCCTGTTGTTTTACCTTAGATGTGGTACATTTGTGAAAATTGGCAGTTTTCTGATAGAGAACCAGAAAGGGAGCTCACAGAACCAAAAAGTTGAGAACAATAAGAGAGACAGAAGTTCTCAGGAAACTAAAGCTGCAAGACTGCCCTTGAACTCCTGGATGTCCACTCAGTGTGCTCCTGTTAGGGCCGAACCCTAATTAGCACACAGAAGACCCTGAGAATTGGATGTCGATTGAGTCACCAGACTGAAAAACAAAATGATACAACACAAACTTTAAAAACTAGAATCAGCAGACCCAGTCCTAGCCCAGGTCCGGTGAGTGTGTGGAGAGCTTCCTGCTACCCTGCGCCAGTGGGACCAGTCCCAGCCCAGGCGCAGCGTGGGCAGGACCCTCTCCCACCCCCTCGGGCCGCCCCCCACCACTCCACCTTACCTGCCTCACCCCTCCCGCTAAGTAGGAATTTCTG